GAGGCATACACGCTGCCCAGCATTGTAGACACCTCTCTACAAGGCATGGTTTGACACTCTCTTGCTCCCTGAATGACCTCTCATTTTGATACCAGTAAACAGAGTCCAAGATGGGTAGGTCATAGGGAAGAATGGGCAGGATGGAGGCTCAAAGGGCTTACTGCTGAGCCTAGTTTTTGTAAGCAGAGATGTGAAAGACATTTTGTCATAGAAAATACGTTGCTAAGCCACCTTCTACATATCAGTGCATCTAAGAGTCATGTTCTACACATCCCCACATCTTCCAATCACTTTTCCAGACTATATATAGGTGTGAATGGCTGGTCTTGATCTAGTCTCTGCAGGATCAAGTCCATGATGGAAAACATTCTACCATGTAGAAGGTAGTAAAGAAAATAAAACTGTCTTGGAATTATTTAGGTTACAGTATGATAGAGGCTAAGTCCCTATCTACATGGAATCACTGGGGAACCACATGTCTTGTAGGCATCACTCAGATGGAAGATTGTCTAGGATAAAAGGTACCTGTCCTGGAACTTGTAGCAGAATTCAATTCCCACTGCAGACTTTCTCTGAGAATTTGAGGAAGTCACTTCATCCCCTTGCTGCAAAACTGGGATAATAGACAGTTTCCTATCATGCTGCTACTATGATCATCAGGCTAATTAAAGGAAAAACTAACAAAATGTCTAAATCCCTTTTGTTCCATAGGCTTTCAAAACACATAATTTTTCTATTTTTCCCCATAAAAAAGGCATGAGTAAGGAAAAAGAAAATGGAAAAAGCACAAAAAAATCCCCATTAAGTTATTTTTCCAATTTTGTTTTAAAATTCTATTTTCACATTTATTTTTTCATTAAAATCTCCACTTCTGAAAAATGTTTTTAAAAAATTAACACGCTCTACAAATTAAGGGATATCACAAAACACAATGATATTAATGAATTAATCAACTTAGTATTATTACTAACATGTATTACCAACATGTATTACCAGAGAGAATCAAGCTATTTTGAGAAGTTATTTCACTGTATAGTTTTGTTATATATCAAATAATGCACCTTACTGTACTAGCAAACTTATTAAGCTGTCCATGGTGTACACTGAAGTATTTCAGCCTCTTGAGGGTAGCAATACACAGCTTCTCTGAACATAAGAGATAACATAGAAGGTCTTGTTATGAGCTTATCCAACCACATTGACAAAGAATATGGTGCTGATACAGTCAAAAGTGGTTTTATTGATGAGGCAAATATAATAATTTACCACACTCCCCATAGAGTAGTATAAATGCATCTGCTTTGCTATTTGAACCAGTTAAACATGGCTATTGATGAGCGCTAAAGATAATAAAGTTTGATGCATCTAAGATACCAGAGACAAATCATGGCACACAGAAAGCTATCTTTTCATTCCCATTTCTATGAAGCAATTTATTCTTGCCTAGAAGCATTATTTTGCATACTACAAAGAAAATTCATGACCAGAACTGACTAATAAACAAGCCAGATGTAGGAAATGATGCCTTCCCCTGGCTATTTTCCTTCAAAAAAATCTACCACCAGAAACAAATGAGCCACTCCAATATTAAAGTGTAAAAGATACTGCAGATAATTTCAGAGAGGCAGACGGGCACACAAACTCCAAGTCATTTTGGTTGCTTTAGCTTTTATCATTGGTACAGTTCAGGAAGCAAATCTGAAGTGAGACTAAAGAATGAAAGGTCTCAAGAGATTGTTCATTCATGCTTTTATATATTTCAGCATCACTTTATTTTGTTACTATAAAGCTTACTTGGACCCAAAAGTGGAGAAAAGTTTTGTTGGGGTTTTTTTTTCTTCTTTCAACATAAGTTATTAACTTATGTTAATAAGTATTATTAACTCTGTAATTACTTATTACACTCTGTAATTACTTATTACACTCTGTAATTTATTTAGGTGAATTAAGTGCTAGCAGAAGACTGAGATGAAAACACAACAGGATGCTACTATGAACTCTCCTTTCCTGTCAGGTCTCTAACCTCATTCCTCCACCATTAACCAAAGTTTACTCCTGAATTCCACTGAGATGCTTCTTCACACCAGAATGAATCTGCTTGTTGCTAACACATTGTATAAAAGCAGTTTACAACAAAAGTATGTACACACCACAGGCTCACCTCTTATCTCTAATCTGCATCACAAAGTAGAAAATCCTTATTTCTCAGGGATTCTGTTAGGCTTCCAGTGGTCAGTGAAAGCTCTGCTATAGGTTTCCATAGGAATGGGACTTTAAAGAGATACCCAAGTCTTCTCACAACACCCCTCCTTTACCAAGACCATAATTAGTTTTTAAGCATGTGGTCAAATCCTGAGTGGTGCTGAACACCTGAAATCTCTGTTGAAGCCAACAGGAAATACAGATGCCTAGTAGGACTGTGTAAAGCTTCGGTTGCTGATTTGATTTGGCTTGATTCGGTGGTCAAATCTCTGAATCCAAATTGAATCAAGAGACCCTTTAATCCCTTTGAATGGAATCTGAACCCTCCAAATCGATACAGGGAGATTTGGCAAGATTTGATGATTCGGACATAGACACAGCTTTAAATGTTTTTTCTACATACCTCAAGGTACCAGGCAGGTTGTGAATGCTGCAATGCTGGGGTGGATGGAGCATCCCATGGGAGCCTGGGGGGCTCCCCAGTGCACTCAGCAGCAGACCCGGAAGTGGAACAGAAGCACTTCCAGTCCACTTCAGGGTCCGCCAGGAAGTGCGCAGGGGTCCCCCCTGTGCCTGCCCCACTCGGCAACTGGTGCATCCTGGGTCTGGGGGGGCACCCAGGGTCTCCCCATGGCCAATCACCGAGCCAGGGGGAACACAGAGGGCTCCCCCCCCCAACACGCTTGGCAGCAGACCTGGAAGTGAACCAGAAGTACTTCTGGTCCACTTCTGGGTCCGCCACCGAGCACACAGCCAGTGGCTCTCTGGACATGGGTTCCTTTTGGGTTAGATGCATGTGTTTGATGCATCTGTGCCTGAAAATAATGAACTAAGTTGGACAAAAGGCTAAGGTTCGGATATTTCATGACAGCTATGCACATACTTGTGTGTGCAATCAGCAAGCAAAAAGCCAGTTTCATGAGGTCAGTGTATTCTTTGTGTGCAAATAAACAATACAAAAGAGCTTTCTCATATATGTGCTCAATAGGAAGATCACTCCCTATATGTAATCTTAGGAATTTTCCAAATAGGCCACTAACCTAATTGCGAAAACATATGCTCTTAGGGTTGTAATACTAGGCCTGATAAGATGCAGTTAGTATAAACAAAGACATATTAAATATCTTGGAGTCAACAATACCCCTTGTACCAACCTAACAAGGAGCTAGTAGTTCTGATACTGTATACTCACACGTTTTCTACAAGGTAGTGCAACTTTAATTTTTGCTAAATATTTCATAGGGGCTCATAGAATGAGGTCTGAAAAGGATCTGAAGGTTCCAGCATTTTCTGGTAGTCCTATTCATACCTCTATTAGGAGCTCTTCAGGCTCCCTAAAAGCGCATACCTCCTGCAGAAAGGAGCAATGTACAAATGTGACCTGCTTTCTAATGTACATTCTCTGCAAAGGCTTTCTGAGTTTCAGGGCTAGGAGAAATCTCATTCCATAAACCAAATAGTGCCATTTACACGTGTCTTTTTATGTGACAGTCCCCCAGAATCAGGGTGGTAGGAATCATTTGACCCCAGCATCCTTTCCTGCCCATGGCAGGGGATCGGACTAGATGGATGATCTGCTTAGGTCCCTTCCAACTTTACCAACTATGAAACTACGAAATTATGAAAGCAGTGGTTAAAAGTGAATATTGTGTCATAGATTATATGAATATAGCTGAGTGGTAGTTTTCAGCAGAAGTTGAAAATACTTTTAATTTTACTGAATTGTGTGCTATCACCATGTAGGTGCATAATTTCTTTGCATATAGTGAACATCTCAGTAAAGTGGGAAGTATGTTTTTCATCCCAGCAGTAGAAGCATATCACTAGTTGGGTAAGACAAAGCTGCAATAATAAAAAAAACAACCCAAACCATCTTATTATGAAGGCATGCACAATTGAATTATATAAGTATTTATGAAAAAATCAAAATGAGACAATTCACTCATCAGATCAGTTTTAAATCATGTCAGCCAAGTAAGCTTTTCATAGCTCTGAATTCACTAATACCTCTCCCAGATCCTGCTTTTTAAAATCCAAGAAGTGATTAGTTAAGAGATGACTAGTACTCAAACCCTTGAATTATTTTCACAGTGGCTTTACAATCATGTGGTTATGGTTTTTTCCTAAGATATATAGCTGTCCAGGAAAAAGGCTATATAAAAAGAGTAGAAGCACAAGATATTTTTCACAATACTTCCATTAAAATACACCACAATGATGCAATCTATTCTGCTGCAAAAAGTAAAAATCATTTGGGAAATTTGCTAGATATATAATAAAAAATATTTACTATATACTGAGTAGTGTTGGGGACTTCGCTAAATTGTTTTTACTGGTTCCCCCACAATTAGCTTTCCCATCCCACACAATAGCTCTTCTGCATCAGGGCAAACACCTTTAAGTCTTTAAGTGCACTAGAAAACCTTATTGCTGATACTACAATTGAAGTCAGCTCAGGTAATTATGACCAACATTTTTTCTACATTTTTCTGTCTATGCATGTAGTGTAAGTTTCACATGTTTGAGCTGCTCAAGACGTTACATGTGTATTTAGGAAAAAGTCCACAGATATTTTTTGTTTACTACAGGTGACCCACAGTGACTTGAAAAAAATCTTATCTGCTAAAATTGAATATACCCAGTCACTCATGTGGTCCTGGTCTCAGACCAGGAAACAGTAGGACAAATCTATCATTGTGAATTAAATTACAGGAGCATAAAATAAGATCAGATACAAGATATGCCCTACAAATTAATTTGGAAAATCACTTTCTGTGCTGGTCACATTTGAGACTGACCTGTAAGTCTTTCCAAAGCATCAAATCCATGTTTCAGTGCAATGATATCAAGAAAGGAAACTGTCCCATCTTCAAATCTAAAGGAAAAGTAAACAAATAAGCACAGTAAACAAATCATGGAGCCACTGTACATGCCTAGAATTGAAATACCTTAACAACATGATTATAAATTTATTTAAAAGAATTTGCTGAGGACAAGATTTTTCCCAGCAGAGATCAGTCTTGAGGGCTAGGGACAGAAGTTGCATATAAACCAGTTTAAGTGATCAAAAACTGGTTTAAACCTGTAACAGAACAGATGTTAAGGGCACATAAACAAGTTTCAAAACAGCTGAAACAGGTTTAAGATAAACCTGGTTGAATACAGACTTAACTGATTTGTGTCTGTGGCAGAGCACAGGGTGTCTCTGCCACTTTAAGGGCCTGGAGCTGGCAGCCTCCAGGTGCCTGATTAGGGCAGCCATTTTGAGGCCTAGGCTGCCTATATAAACAAGGCAGTTTGGCTGCAGGAGGGCAGGCAACAGCATTGCCTGGTTGGAGGGCTGCTGAGAACACCCTGGAGGTAAGGGGGAGCTGCAAGGGGTTGGCAGGAGGCTCCTGGTCCTGGGCATGACCTGAAACTGCCCCCTACTGGGAGTGGGTGGTCTGGTGGGGCTCTCAGTGGCGCGGGAGCCCCCAGTAAATGCCAGGCCAGTGATCACCCCGGTGAAAGGCGGGTCGGGGCACCTTAACCCCTAGCTCCCACCACCGGGTGGGTAACCCTATGTTGGAGGGGCCCAGAGGGCGGACCCCGAGAGAGTGTATGGAGTACAGGGCGTGGTGCTGCGGTTGCCCCTGAGAGGATGGGGAGTAGTGGCACGGTGAGGCCCGAGGATGAGAGAGAAGGGCTAGAGAACCAGCCCGAACGGGAGAGTACCCTCGACTGGCCCATGCTGGGGCCAGGACCAGAGAGGGTCAGAAGGGGCTCAGTGTGATGGCCACATCCCCTGCTCTCCATTCTGCTAGCTGTGACCATGGACTACAAATCCCAGAGGCACTTGGAAGCAGGAAGAAGAAGTGATGAGAAACCCTGCAGAGTCCTGCTGTTGTGATTCTGGACTGCAAATCCTAGAGACCTCAGGGGCAGCAGGAAAAGAAAGTGAACACACAGTTGAGCTGTGTTCAATACATTCTCACTTCAGAGAAAGGACTATTCTTGTTCAAGCTTTTACAAATTCAGTGGCACTACCTTTTTCCCACCCATCCCCTCCTCAGCCTGACAGCCCCCCATCTCTCTCCTCCCAGGCAGAGTATGGGTTGGGGCCTGGCAATGCCCCTTCCGCTCCAGCAGGGAAGGTGGGGAAAGCCATAGAGGAATCCTTTCTTCCCTTTAGCAGTGGCTGTAAGGCATGCTCTAGCACCTCCCAGCTTCTGGCTTGAGCCATTGCAGACATGTGACTGCATTTCCTGAATCAAAAGTCTGTTCACTTGTTTGTTAGTTTAATCTCTGCAAGCTTAGACTAACCTGCAAAGACTGAATCAATTCAGCCTCAGGATTTTTGACTGTCTGTACTTGGCCTTAGTCTTATTGGTCATATTTATACCACCTCTCTGATGGGCCCAAAAACACTGCTGAGAAATAATCTCCATCTTCTCACTCCCACTTCATACGGCTCATGCCCAGCAATTAGGCTAAGCCAATAGCTCAGATGGGTACTGAGTGTATGGTCTGATACCTCGGTTAGTCTTTGTCATGGGAGAACCTGAGACCAGCACTAGGGAAGGTGCTCAAGGTACGTCTGAGCCTATTATTCCCCTAATTGCTAGCTGCCATGACAGGAAGTAGGTAAAGCTTGTTTCTAAGCAGTAGCCCCTGACTCAGAGAGAGGCAATGAATGCATGACCACAGAATCATAGAAATCACAGACCATCAAAAAGTCAGGCTTGAAGGGACCTCAGGAGGTCATCTAATCCAATTCCCTTCTCAGTGAAGGATCATCCCTATAAGAACCATCGTAAACTAGTGATAGTTTGGTGATGATACAGTATTTAGTGGAATTTAGCAGATTCACTGGAATCAGACAGGGGCCATGATGTGAGTGCTTCTGTTATGCCTGTTATGGTAGTTGGAGCTCCAAATATGGTACCAATGCACAAATGCTTCAACTTTAAGAAAGCAGACTGGACAGGCTTTTCTGAACACCTTGACAAAAAGGTGACACACATCAAACCAGTCTTAGATAACTATGACCTTTTTGTGAATCCACTGAGCAAAACCTCCAAGAAGTATATACCAGGATTTACTCCCATGCTAGCAGCTAAATAGAAAAAATACCAGCAAATGTTTCTAATAGATCCTCTCTCAGAAGACACTATTGTGACAGGGACAGCCCGTACTAACAAGCTCCAAGAAGAAAGGCAATGGAAATGGAAATAATTGATCAAAGGAACAGATACTACCCACACTAGCAGGAAAGCATGCTTAACAACCATTTGCAAGCTGAGTACCGACCTGAAGAAAGTACAGCAATATCACAACATCATAGCCACCCAGGTAGTTCACCAGCTTCTACTCAACTGTAAAGATCTGAACAGCCTAAAATATGGTTAGACAGCAAACTGATCCAGAGGAAAATCAATTTAGCATGTCACCTACAATAGATTAACTTGATGCAGGAATAAATCACTTGAAGAATGGCAAAGCAGCTGGACTCAATGGCAGATCAAGATATGATCTTGATCTGGACTTGATGGAGTCCAGATCAAGATCTGGACTCTTGATCTGTCATCGAGTCCAGATCTGATCTGGACTTGATAGCAGATCAAGCACTTTAGATCCTCAACAAAGTTATATGTATTACATCTTTTTAACAATTGCTTATCAACCTTTAGAATCTCTACAGTATGGCAACTCTCCTGTGTAATACTCTATTAAATCCAGGGAAAGATGCCTCTGGCCCAGAGAACTTTAGGCTGTGTCACTTCTGTGCTTTCTTTATAAACTTTACAAATGCCTTATTCTCAATTGTCTTTCACCTCATATCGAACAACATCTAGTACCAGAACAAGCCAGATTCAGACCAGGCAGGTCCTCCTCTATCACCCAGCATATAGAAGATGGATTCAAGAAAGGGATGATAACAGGTGTGTCTGTAGACCTATCAGTGGCATATGACAGACAACCACCAAAACATGCTTGCTAAATTCTACAATATGACATATGACTACCACCTAGCACAGGTCATCCAATCTCATTTGGAGACCAGGCATTTTTACGTAGAACTGTGAAAGAAATGGAGCTACTGGAGATGACAACAAAATGGCCTCTCACTTGGTGGCATGATAGCACCAATCCTTTTTAACATATACCAATACCCAACTCATACAGAGTAATATGAGGAGTGTCATATATGCTAATGATCATGTTGCAAGAGAAGGACTTCACCATTGTTGAGAACAGGCTAACATTGCACTGAGCAACCTCTCAGATTACTACAATAAGAATAAGATTCCTACCAACCCAACCACAACCCAGATCATAGCTTTTCACCTAAACCATGGAGAAGTCAAGTGGAAATTAAACATCACCTGGGATGGAATCCCACTGACCAATCAACTGAACCCTATGTACTTGGATGTTACAGTGGACTGAACACTTACCTTCAAAGCACATATAGAGAAGATGAAAGGGAAAGTCAGCACCTGCAACAATATATTTTGAAAGCTGGTCACCTCAAAGTGGGCAGTGAATCCAGCTATAATATGAACACTGGTATTACCTTGTTTTACTCCACTGCAGAATATGCATGTCCACTATGGGAACAATCACTTCATGGCAAGAAGCTAGGCCCAGTTCTAAATGACAGCTGTCATAGGATGTCTAAAGCTAACACTGAAGGACAGCCTGTACTTACTGGATGGCACTGCACCACCTCATATCAGAAGAAAGGTAGTGAGCCATAAAGAAAGATCAAGGCAGATGGAATACCCCAGGAATGCACTTTATGGTCACATGTGAAAGAGTTTTGTGACCAGTGTTGCACTGTTGGACATGATGGCTAACAGGGCACAACTGAGGTTATGGAAGGAAAGGCTATGCACACTCAGGTGATCTGAAATGGACCTGGAGACCCAGGAAGACCTTCTCAGAGAGGCTGACCTAGACTGGCCAACATGGTAATGCCTGAACCACCTGTGCATGCAAACTGGAAGATCAAAAACAAACAGGATCAAATGGGGCTACTCTAATGACATGAATATATGCAAGTGCAATGAACTGCAGACTAAAAAGCACCTGCTTGTTTGCTGACTCCTTGGTGAGTCCTATGTGAAGACGGACCTCACAGCAGCAATGGAAAGTTATTGCTTGTGCACAATTCAGGAAAATCATCTATTTTAATGACATGGAAACGAAAAGAAGAAAAAGGGGTAGATGAGTGCCATGGGGCCAGTTTGAAGGCTGGATTCTGCAGGTGGGGTTGGTTTATGTGGTTAGTGGTTGGTGTGTAGATCTGATGTGCAGGTCAGGCCAGCATGCCAGGTTGCCCCTATGGATTAACCCAGTCCATAGGGGCAACCTTGCATGCTGGCTTGCCCTGCACATCAGATCTAACTACTGGCTGTGACTGTGCACCAGATCTGGCCATGGCCCACCCCTGCACACTGGCACACAGGGCCATGTTATCCAGTCCACAGGGCTCCTCACAGGTCTGGAAATTTAGTGGCAGGGAATGGTGGAGACCTTAATTGCCTCAACAATTAATGCTGCCATGGTGACCCTACAGCCAAATTTCTGGTCCTATGAGGAGCCCCACAGGGTGGATGACATGGCTAACCTATTATTAAAAACAGTGGTAGCAACTCTCATATACAACTACTAGGCCTAATGTTTGAAACATCAAAAATATCCTTTTATGTGCTATAGGTAAAGCCAAATGAAGAGGGCATGGTCACTATTTTGACATGGCAAGAACAGGAAGTAGTAAAATACACTCAAGAGAACCAGGGAAGAGGACCATGCTCCAAATCCTTTCCACTACAGAGGAGGGTATAACCCCCCGTGGTTCATACCAATCTGAACATGGGGTAAAAGTCCTTC